GGGGAGGGGTACTCACATTGGAGTTGGGGGTGGAGGAAACGCTGCTCCGCTCCACATCGTTGAAGGCGCCCTCAGACTGGTCAGACATCTGGGGACAGGGAGGCCAGGAAGAAATGATTGTTTGGGGGGCTCCAGCTGAAGCCAGGAGGGCTGCCAGGCGCTGCCTCTGACTCCCCACAGCAAATGCACTCCAGAGAGGTGAGAAGAAGGTGCAGTGGGGCAAGAGAACAGGATGTGCAGCTGCCCATGCTCACCTGGTAGCTGGAGGGCTTCCGTGGCTGCAGCTTCTTCAGGCAGAGGCCAAAGAAGGAGAAGACAATGCAGGAGAGGAGGACCACAAAGGTGAAGAGGGTGACAGGGCGAGTGGGACCTAGAGCACAGAGACACTGGGGCAGCACATGAGCCTCCAAGGACCTGCTGCACATCCAGCTGAGCCCCAGGCTGGCACCTGCTTTGAGTCTTACGAGCTCTCAACCCCCTTCTCAAAGCATTAGCTGACATAGCCCTCATTTTCGAGGTCTCCATCACACCTTCCCCCTTCCAATCTCCCTTCCCACCCTCCATACCATGCCTAAGAAGTCAGGGGTCACACTCGTGACTCATCCCCCCAACTGTCAGATGTGACCCTCAGCAGTGGCAGGGGGCTGCCCCACGCTCTCCCTACCAAGGCGCAGGACGGAGAAGAAGAGCAGCCAGAACATGCAGAGGATGGGGGCCACCACGACCTGGCTGATGGCAGCGACGTGGAGGCGCTGGTTCAGCTTGGTGGGGATATACACGTAGTAGATATTGTACCGGTCAACCATGTGCTTGAGCAGCATGTAGAGCAAACCTAGAAGAAGGACGGGCCATTTGGGGGGAGGACAATGGGAACAGCCAGGTCTCAGGGACAGCAGGGCAGGCCCAGGAGATGATGCCCAAGGGTTCCCTCCTGTACCACACAGGAAGCTCGTGCTCCCATGCTGCTGCTGGTGGCTGCAACAGGCTGTTCTCCACAGGGCCGGGGGCAGTGAGACCAGAGACATGGGGCTGTACTCACCAAAGGGGACAATGATGGGGCAGGTGATGCTGTAGGTCATGACAACAGAGAAGATGCAGCAGGTCCAGGCATACTCCAGCCCAAACTGGAACTGATAGGCTTGGCTCTGAGGCACAACCAACAGCACTGTTACTGCTCTGCCTCTGCAAAGGCTGCTCTTGCCTTTGCACCCTGACCCACACGATTGCCTCCCCCTGTTATTCCCATGGGGCCAGGGCCAGCAGTGCCCCTTGCATGGTGGCTTGTCCCCACAAGCCTCCCCATAGGATCAGGAGAGCCTGTTTCCAGTGACCGCATCCCTGGCCTGCTGTGTAGGCTCAGAGGTGACCAGAGCCACGTACCCGCTTGACGTGGAGCCTCTCAGGCTCGGACTTGGCAAAGCAGAGGCGGGCAGTGTAGACAAGGAGGCCTGGGATGCGCAGCAGCTCCATGGCCGTCCCAATCAGGCTGGAGGTGACCACGTAGTTGACGAAGAAAGCGCCATTGTCTGGGAGGAAAACGCACCTGTGCCGGGGACATGGAAGGTGAGAGGATGCTCAGGCAGGCAGCTCGGAGAGCCGCTGGGGGCTGGCGTCAGGTGGTCCCCCTCACTGGGGAGGTCTGGGAACTCCCTGGTACTCACTGGAACTTGATATCAGCCTCATCCAGAAAGTGGGTGTCGAAGAGCCAGCGGAAAAAAAGGTCCAGGCTGGAGGGGGGAGAGGAGGAGCAGCTCAGAAAGAAGGGGAGCCACAGAGCAACATGGGGGGCACCAAGCAGGTGCGTGCTTTCCCCTGTTCCCAGCAGGCAAGCCCCCCTGGCCCTTACACCAACAGAGCAGCCCCTGCTGCCGCACAGCACCACCATGGCATGGGTGAGTGCCCCCTGGCAGGTCAGGCTTACTGGAGCCAGGACTATGCAGATACCTGACCTGGTCCTTTTGGGGTCTGCTGAAGGGTTTACCCCAAGCAAGGCACCACCAGCATCCTCAGGTCAGCTGTGGCAGCCTGGCAAGCTGCTCTGCTCCCCTCCTTCTCTGCAGAGAAGCTTTCTGTCTGTGACCATCTGGGAGCAGCTCAGCATGGCTAAAGAGTGAGCGTTTTCCTCCCCAGAGACCCACCTTTCAGCAGCAGTGGTGGACCCTTAGCCCTTTGAGGCTGGCTTGGGGAGCCTGGCTGCGATCCCAGCTACTGGGGAGCAGGGAGAGCAGCGCAGTAGGATAGTCCATACCTGCTCAGCCCCAGCGAGGGCAGGATGATGACCATGAACACCAGGAAGAAGAAGCACTTGTGCATGGTGAGCTGATTTTCACTCGACCTGGGGAGAGGGGAGGCAAGAGAAGAACATTGTGCTTTTCCAAGGCAGAGCAGCCAGTGGGGGGGGGAAAGGCTGGGCTGGGTCTCACTTTTCACCAAGGAGCTACTCCCAACCCCCAGGAAGCCATGTGCATTTGATCTGTGCATCTACTGGGGCATGCAAAGCCTCTCCCAGGCTAGGGGAGGAGTCACCATGAGATAATATGCTGTAGTGAAAGCTCTCATCCTCCCAGCCTCTTACCTCCTTCATCTCTGCCCTCTCCTACCATCCCTGCTGGTGCAGACACCCAACAAGAGACAGTTGGGTGTCTACAATGGGTTCAGGAGCCCCCATTTCCCTCTGGAGAAGGAAGGGAGGTGGTTACAAAGCTCCTGCAAGGACTCAGCAGACCAAGCACATGAATTGGGGCCAGCAGAGGGTCAAGACAGAGACAGCACATTGTAGAAGCTGGGCAGAGCTTCCTCTGCTAGGAGACTTTGAGCATCCTGAACCTGTATCACTGCCTTGGAGGGTTGGGAGCACAGCTGGGATGTGCCGCCCAAGTCAGGGCCATGGCCCTGCTGCTGCCAGTCCACCTATCACACCATCCATTTCACAAATGTCTTCAGATGAATCTTAAAACCAGCTCCACCTGCCTTTGTCAGCAGTCTGGAAGTGTTCAGGGCTAAGGCAAGGAAATAGCTCCTTCGGGCATGGACTTGGGGCTCTTTACATGAAGGGCAACCAGTGGGGCTCTGTGGGGGTCTGCTGCTCCACTGCCTGCCTCCCTGCAGGTTGGGTCCCATTCCACAAGTCCTACTGAGGTTCCTCCCATCTACCGCAGCCCTGGCATGGGGACCAGCCCTGTTACCTTGTCCAGTGTGACTCAAAGAACGCCGAGTAGTAAACGAGGAAGGGCAGGAAGACGGAGAAGGCCCAGAGCAGCAGCGTGGGGAAGAATTGGGTGATGATGGGGTTCTGTAGGAAGAAAGATGCCGGACATCTCCTCAGGAGCCTGCTGGAGCTCAGCCATGCTGGAGGCAGCTCCCTGGGCCTCCTGGCACAGGATGGTGTGTGCAATAGGCAAGCTGGGGCATTCCCTCCCTGAGCAGGGCTGTTTGTTTGCTTCAGGAAATAAGAGCTTGAGGCAAGCCAAAGGCACCAAAGGCATGTTCGGAGTCCCAGTGCCCGCCCAACAGCTCACAGGACAATGAGCAGGAAGGAAATGTGCTGCTGGCAGCTCCTAACAGCTCCTGGAACTCTTCCCAGCCCTCTCCTCTTGCATGGACACCAACCTGCCTTCCCTCATGGACACCAGCACCAAAGCTCAGGTTTGCATAGGTGCCCCAGGGCTCTGTCACTGGAAACACAACAAGAAGAGGATGGATGGCAAGCAGGGGCATGAGTGCTCCTTGCCTCTCATCAATGCCCATGCCAGTGACGGCTTGTGTTCTTGGGCCAGTATAGAGCTGGTGCCTTCCCCCTGCCATGGACAAGCCTGGAAACAGAGACCCTGTGGGAAAGCTGGCATGGGGACCTAGGGACTACCTTGAGGTTCTCCACAGGCTGTGTGACATTGAACATGTCCATGGTATTGACAACAATGGCTGGTGTGGTGAGGAAGAAGAGGAGGACGAAGAGGCAGATATTAAGGAGGATGAATCTCACCCACCAAGATGTGCCACGGACCGATAAATTCTCCCTGTGAGAGGAAAGCATGACTTGGACATAGTGCAGAGGAAAAGCCACATGTCCTGAGTCTTCTAGCCCAGCTCCCTGAAGCTCTGCCTCCCACTGCCCACACCGACCATACTGGCAGTCCCTGCTCAGAGTTCAACCCCTCCCCCTTCCCCATGCTGCTGCGCTGACACCTGAAAAGCCCCTGGGACCAGAGCATGGCTGCAGAGGGGAGGTCTGTGTCACCAGGAGGCTTGGGAGTCAGGCTGCAGAAATCAGAGCCTGGCAATCACTGAAATCTCGCCTGAACAAACCCCGCCACCCACAGGGTGATCACCCCAGTCACCCCTGGTGACTTCTCCTATGGCCACAGGAGGGATTGTCAGCCTCCCTCTGCCACTCTGAGAAGGCATCCTACAGGTATGGGTGCACGTTCCCTACAGCTATATGGGTTCCCTATAGCTATGGGTATAGGCTCCCTATAGCCATGGGTATGGGTCCCCCCTAGCTGCTCGCCCTCCCTCCCTTTCCCACCACGGCAGTTCACCAGATGATATCACTGGGCGCAGGGGCATAGCGAACACCCCAGTGGTGTGACTTGACCACAGTGGTGACAGAGGACTGCTGGGGGTGCTTGCGGCAGCGGATGTGGCTGTAGTCCTTCAAAATCCTGCAAGAGGAGAGAGCCAGGGGTTGGGTCCGGACTGAGGGCCCTCTGCCTGCCCCCCGCCCACTTCTCATGATACCTTTCCCACAGACCCAACAGAGCAGCCATCTCCGCAGGTGGCAGAGACACAGCGGACACAGACCCATCGCCTGGCTTTGGCCACAGGAGCCAGCAAGGTGCCCCAGTGGCGGTCACCACCAGGCTGGGGGATGTGCCAGCACTGGCACATCAAGGAGCACTCACACAGCCGTCATCCTCTCATCCTGGAAGGTGACGAAGGCCATGTCGAGCCGCTTGAGAGTGATGCGGTTGCGCTCGGCATTGAACTCATCCGTGAGCTTCTCCTCCAACTCCCCGTAGTACTGCTCAGCATCCACCTGCGGGAGCAGCCAGGGCTCTAACGTGCTCACAGGGCTGTGGCACGGGCAAGCTGCCATGCTCTGCCCTGCCTGCAGTGGGGATGTGCTGCCTGCAGCCCTGCCTGCAGCCTCATACCTGCTCAAAGCCACAGAAGCGGCAGCAGAAGATGCGGGCACAGGGGTGGGTTTTGATCATGATCTTCCCCTCCTTCTGTGCCTTGGTGGTGAAGTAAAGCCGGCCCTTCATTGCCTTGCGCCTGCCGGGAAGCCAACAGGGACGAGGGTCATCCAGGGATCAGCAGACAGGCAGACTGGGTCTCTTGACATAGTGGGAAGGAGTGGTACACCCACCCACAGAGGCAACGGAGACCTGCACGCACTCACCTCTCCGCATCCAGCTTCATCAGCTTGCGCACATCGAAGCAGAACTGGACGTTGGTGACAGTGCAGCTAGGATAAGCCTCGCTGCGGGCACAGGGACACGGTGGCACCAGGAGCCAGGGGACAGGGACAGCCCCTGCCACCTGCCTGACAGCCACCCTGCCAAGGCTGTGGCACACTGCTTGATACTCACTGGAAATGCTTGATGATAAGAGAAGGGTCTGTGATCTCCTTGGGGATGTGGGTAACCATCAGTGTCCGGGCAACCTGGGGGAGGAGAAGGGGCAGCAGGGTTTGGTGGTAAGGGTCTGCGGGACATCTCGCTAGCGCCCTGCTCACCCAGCTGCCAGGAAGGCAGAGATGAGTCAGGGCACCTACTGCCACCCTGGAGGCCGGTCAGCACAGACCCCCTCCGTGTCCACACCCAGACCCCAGGGGCACAGCTGGATGCTGCCGCTTCCCAGATGGAGGGACACAACAGAAATTCAATCTCAAGAGACAAGGCAGCACGAGAGAGATTTGCCTCCTGACTGCCAGACTTTCTCCAGAAGCTGTAAAAAACCAGCCTTATCTTTCCCTGTGTGCCCAGTTCCAGGCTGTTTCTAAAGCTCTCCCTACCTACTTGGACCATGCTTTCTGCAAAGCACAAAGTTGTCCATCAGTGTTGAACAAGGCAGGGCTGGAGGAGGAGTGGTGGCTCACCTTCTCGTTCTCTCTGTATTCAAGGTGGACAGAGTGGTGAGCCATGCAGAGGATGGTGAGGATGAAATAGATGAGGGCGAAGATGCTGTGCAGCCAGAGCAGACGGTCCCTGGAGGAGGAGAAGAGGGGATCAGTGGGCACTACGGTGGGCATGTGGCGCACGGACCAGCCTGGTGCTCAGCACCTCACCCACAGTCACCCCCACTGCCTGGCAGCACCTCCCCAAGCCGGCTGACGGAACCCCCACCCCGGGGACGAGAGGGGCAGCATCCAGGGTGTTGGCAGAAATGAGGTCACCCAGCACCCCCAAGAGCACTTCTGCCAGCAGTGGGGTGCAGCGAGCAGCACCAGTGTGCTGGCTGCTGTGACAGTGCTTGTGTGCGGTGCAGACAGATACAGGGGCTACCAGTAGCAGCGTGCTGCTCACGTGGACCTGTCCCCATCCCCAGCATGGGACTGTGGTGATCACCGTGCCTGGGCACTCCCACCAGTGCCCACCACAGCCACAGCATCCACACCACCCCCCCGGACACGGGAGCCACGTACTGTGTCGGGATGTTGGCGATGGTTGTCCGGCCAAAGTGGGTGGGATTGTGTCCTGCAGGGGAAGAGGGGAAGTGGGAGATTACAGGAGCCCAGTGCAGTGCATGTGTCCGTGCTACCAGGGTTAGTGGCTCTGGTCTTTGCTCCCTCCTTTTCTATCTCCCAAGTCCCCACCAAGCCCCCATTGCCCCAAAGTTCCCTGCCTCTTGCATTCCTTTGTCCCACAGCTGATGGGACATGGGAACCTGATGGAACATGGGAGCTCCTGACGGAGGAGTCCTTCTACCCTCCATCCCCAGGGCATGGTGCTCGCCTCCAGGCTGGGGAAGCTTGTGCCATGATCCTGAGCCATCCCACAACTGGTGAAGCACCTACCCAGGAGGTCCCCCGAGAAGTTGACAGGCAGGATGACGGCCACAGAGAGCACGCAGACCAGCATCAGCAGGACCAGGAGGTGCCGCTGGAAGGAGAGGTAGGTGGTGGCGTCGATCCCACACTTGCTCTGAATCTCCTCGTCCCTGGGGGAGAGGCAGGTGGGGGTGAGCGCTGGTGGTGTCTCCTCACCACCTCCCACCCTGGGGACACTGGCTGCTCCAGCCTCACACAACCCACGCCAACTCACGGCACCCTGCTCATGGCACAGGGGATTTGTGCATAGGGGGAAATGAGGGACACAAGCAGCCCCCAGGCTGCCACCTCATTACAGGACTGGCTCCTACCAGAAGAGGTTGAAGCCCTTTCCTTTGGGACAGGAGCCAGGAGGAAATGCAGAGGTGAGCCCTGTGCTCTCTCTCCCAGGGGGATGTTTTAGAAGGGCTGTCCTCTGCTTCTGGTCCCAGCAGCTCCAGCTGCTGGGTGACCACCTGTGGGCACCCACACCCCAGGGGCGGGCAGTGGTGGGGCACGGCCATGATGCCAAGGACACACACTTACTTCATCTGGTAGATAGAAATTAGCCAGGAGCAGAATCCCTGGAAGGGAAGAGAGTCAGGATGAGTCAGGGACGACCACTCCCACCTCCCCAGTGAGAAGCCGGACACAGCATGCACTGGGGATCTGTGCGGAGACAGTGCGGTGCCTGGGGCTGGGGGGCTGAGCAGAGTCAGCGCCCAGGGCAGCTCAGTGATGCTCAGCTGAGCAGCTTGTCTGCAGCTGTGGCCAAAGGCGGCTGCTTCGGGAGGAGCGGGATACATGGGGCATCGCTGTAACACACGCTCCTGGCTTCCAGCAACTCCCTCCTCTGTGCCTTCCCTGACAGTCCCTAACACGCAATGCACTTTTTTGACCAGTACCAAGCACTGAGCCGGCAGTGCCATAGAGCGATATACAACAACGCCAAGATCTTGTGTAATAGCTCATTCCCTGTCACTGCATATGCAATATTAGAGGTTTTTCCTCCCCTATGCATTGTGTTACATTTTACCAACGCTGGAGTTCACGCAAGTTCAAGCTCCCTCTGCACTCTTCCCTGTCATGGCCGTACCGAGTGACACTCGGCCATTGGGCCCCTCCTCTTTGCCCCCTTTCTGGAGGTTTTATGCTGCCCTTGGATGGGAGGGATCACAGGCAGCCCCTTCTGGGATTCCCTTACCCTGTCCCGTGAGAGCTGGCAGCTTCTTCCTCCTTTCCATTCCCCAGCTGTACCCATACCAGAACCTTCCCTCCTACCTCACAGCTCAGCTTTGTCTGATTGAAGGCTTTGGAGGTGCAGGCATCCCCGTGTCCCTGACAGCTCCACAGGGGCCGGACACCCCCTTAGCCCAGCTGGTATGACTCCCCTCCTATGCTCCACTCTGGGGCTCTGCTCTGGAGAACCATGTCTGGGAGGTTGTCCACGCAGACCCCAAGCTCCCTGGGCTGTAATTTCTTGGGTTTTCCCAACTCTCCTGAAAAACCAGCATTTATCAGGTGATTCTCAACTCTCTAGGATCCCCAGGTGCAGGGAAGAGGTCACACACTGTAGTCAATAGCTTGGCTATTCATCTCGGGGTGAGTGAGAAGTCCCACACCTGCTCCTGGGAATTTGTGATGATAATGAGAATTCATCAGGCTGCTTTTATTGCAAACTCATCCTCCCACCCCACTCCCGGAGGGATGCTCCAATGCTTCCCTGCAGAGAAGAACTCCTGGGCAGGAATTTGGTTGAGTTCCTCCTCACTGGACAAAAGGACCAAAATTTTATGTAGCTCTCCTGCCACATTCTCGCCTTCTCCAGCACGCATTTTCAATCTTCAACATCTATCAGCCCTACAAACCCTCTGTCAGGTTTCCTGTTCCTCGTGTGTGAAGAAAAATCTAGTACTTGCTTCTATGCTCTCTACAAATTTCTTCTCAAACTCCTCTTCCCGCCCCCTTAGTATATTTTGTATCTAACCTGGCAGAGTTCAGATTTCCCTCATTTGGGAACAGCTTGACTTTTCAAAGGATGTCTTCTTACTTTTAATAATCTCCTGTAATCTGCTCTTTAGCCGTGCTGTCATTCCCTGGGGTCTTTCTCACTTAGTTATTTTTTGATGAGCAATACACATTTGCCCAGAGCATCCAGTACCGAGCCTTTAAACAGGCCTCCTGCCACCTGCAAGGATTTTGCTGCTTTACCTTTCCTGCCTAGTTTCTTTTTTAGTAAGTTCTGTCATTTTTTCATAGTCACACCAGCGACTGATTTTTGAGTTTTTCTTGCCAAAAAGGAGAAAGACAGCAAAATGTGTCAGTCTGTGCTTGTTTCCAGCAAAGCCCGGTTTGTACCTGATGCCACAGAGAGAAACAAAACATGACCTTTCCGCCCCTGCAGCCCACCATGCCTGCAGAGGTGAAGGTGTGATCCAGGGGACTCTGTCCTGCCTGGGCCAGAAAGGTTCCTGCGGGTGTGCAGTGAGGCTCTGGCCGTGCATCCGACTAGGTCCCTGCAGCCGGCATGGATGGCCACGCAGCCGGGAGATGCTCACCCTGCTGGGAGCATCCCTTCCAAGCTGCTGATCAAGGTAGATGCCTCAAACCAAGGCAGGACAAAGAAACTCTCCAGCTTTCCCAGGAATACCCCGCTGCTAAAGGGTGTTAAGCAGGAAAACCCACACTGGAGAATTTAATTTCTCCCATTTAACTTCTGACCTGGGTTTCCCATGAAGAGCAGGGCAGGCTGGGCCAGGACAAGCCCAGCCTGGGCTCCCACTGCCACGGCTGCCATTACTCACCACATCCTTGTTGTCGGCATCCAGGGGGCTGCTCTCTGATGGGGACTTCTCCTTCTCGCTCTGCTCTCCGTAGAAAAGCGACGTCAAACTTTGCAGGGAGGGGAGGAGCAGAGGGGTGAGGCAGGAGAGAAGCAGCAGATGGAAGAGGATGAGCACCCTCGAAGAAGGAACCTGGGAAATGCCACCCCTCCCCGCATCCTGCACTGGGGCTGGACCAGCAGCTACTGCTGGGCTCGGGGCAGGGGCTGCGCTCGCTGCCTCTGCACCAAAAAGTCCCTGTGGCTTCTCTGTGGCCCCGGCCCACGGCAAGGTGACTGATGGAGAATTGGCCTTAGCTCCAGGACAAGGGCTTGCTGAACTGGATTTTTATATTCCATTGGTTTCAGCCTCCCTGCATCCTGCACTGGGGCTGGACCAGCAGCTACTGCTGGGCTCGGGGCAGGGGCTGCGCTCGCTGCCTCTGCACCAAAAAGTCCCTGTGGCTTCTCTGTGGCCCCGGCCCACGGCAAGGTGACTGATGGAGAATTGGCCTTAGCTCCAGGACAAGGGCTTGCTGAACTGGATTTTTATATTCCATTGGTTTCAGTCCTCAAATGGCATTACAGTAAAAGGAATGTAACAAGTGCTTGAATTTTAAGTCTTGATTGCCCTTTTGATCTCCCCAGTGAAGGGAAACGTCAGACTTGGCTCCAGAGGCAAAGGCCAAGAGAAGCTGGAGAGTAGAGAAGGCAGGAGAAAGCCTTTTACAGAGTTTGCTCCTATGGGCTGCCCAGCCTTGCAGAGACCCCTCCTCTGTGCACCCACTTGTGCAAAGAAAGATGCTTTGCTGTCCAGGGCGAGCTGGCAAGCAGGCAGCTGTGGGCAGCAAAGCCCACCTGAAAATCTGGTCTGGGATCTACTTTCACCAGGACACTGGTATTTTTAGAGGGATTCTGCACCTAGCACTAAGGATGGGCCAAGCAAGCTGCCTTGGTGACATGAGGAACAGTGTTATGGCTGTGTGTCTCCCTCTGTCTCCTCCACTGGCCAGCCCTGCTCATCCCAAGAGCGGCAGAGGAAGAGGCAGCAGCTCAGTCCTCACTAAGCCCAAGCAGCTCTTGGGCCTCTGTCCTTCCCAGGGCAGTGCCCTCCCTGGCACTGAGAGCAGCGTCACCAGACAATGCCTGCAAGAGTGAATCAAAGCTGGTCCAGGCTTTCCCTCTCCCTGCAGCAGATGGTGACTGTGCCTCCATGGGCAAGGGCAGCCAGGCCATTCCCAGTGGGAAGGAGGGACAGGAACACATGCTGAGCTTCTCCGTGGGCCACCCTGCAGAGCCAGCCCTCTTGCCAGCCTGGAGAAGCTGGAGCCATCACCTGCAGTGGCCTCACATCCTCCTCACCTATCATTGTCCATCAGCAGCGCCAGGCGCCCGTAGTCCCAAGCAGCTTTCCGAAGGCAGGAGAAGACCAGGAGGAGAAGCTGGAAGAAGAGGAAAGAGGAGAGGTGAAGGGTTTTGCCGCAGGGTCTTGCCCTGTGGGATCTCCTCACATCCTTCCTTTCTGTTTACTCCCTCATGAGCCCAAGCTCATGCAAAACTCTGCTCTGTGATCTCACCACTGCTGCCCAAGTACCACCTGCTACCCACCACGAAGTGGGTAAAGCTCTTGGTCCCCTGCACTCACCCCTGTTTCCCCAATTAGCCAGGTGCACCGGTGTGCAGGCTGCACTCACATGTGGCTGTCAGTGCACCCATAACACACGCACCCACTCGTGCTCACAGCCAGTCTCTGACACCACAGCCAGGGACTACAGTGCCCGTAGACATGGCACCCTCCCAGCCCGCTCACCAGCCAGAGGATGAAGTTGATGGCAAGCACGGTGGGCACGCCACCAAACGGCAGCCCTTCCAGGACGGTGCTGCGGGAGCGGGCGCTGAAGCATTGCTCCTCCGTGCTGTTCACCAGGGCGTCCAGGAAGCTGAGCATGTCCAGCGAGGTGGGGCCGGCACCATCAGGCGCTGGTTCCACCGAATACACGCTCTCCATCAGTGCCGTCGTGGGGCCTCACCCTGCAACACAGAGGCAGGGGTGCGGATGGAGAAACCTTTGCTTGAAAAGGGGCCATGGCTCTTCCAGGTCCTCCAGTGAGGTCTGAGGAGCTCACTAAGGGCAAGGAGGGGAGAGGACTGGCTGGTAATCCTGGTGCTTCCACAGTCACAGTCTCTCCCAGGGAGGGGCTGTGGGACACAGGGCAGGGGGTAATGATGAAGAAATCTCACACCTACCTCATACCCATTCCTCACCCCATTAGACCCCATTAAACCTTGTCATACCTGAGACAGGTCTCTCACCACCTCTGCCCCTCAGTCCTGGAAGATGGGTTGAGTCATGACCAGCCTGGTGCGTTCAGCA